TTTTTAAAACTATTTTTTTTTATAAATTGTTTTTAAAACTATTTTTTTTTTATAAATTGTTTTTAATTTATACATTTTTTTAATACATTTATTTATTAGTTTATTTTTTTTTCGAAAATATCAATCTATTTCTGATTTATTTTTCTGTAAGTTTAGTTGTTATCAACAACCCTATATAAGCTTCTTCCGCAAATATTCTGCACATTATTAGGATTTTTTACAAAACAGTCATTTTAAACTTGTATTTATTAAAAATAAATACATACATATATGTATGTATACTTACTATACAACAACAGTATATAATATATTTAAGTCCATATAAGCAGCTTTAAATTTAAATCTATGAAAAAAAAAAACTTACAACTTTGGAATTTACCGGTGTTGGTAAGGCGTTGTTTTGTGGCATGCATACGATTCATATCTGCCACATGCAATATACTCGTCCTTTTGTGTCACGCAGCGAAAATAAATACAGTGCTACAATTTTGCCGTAACTGTCGTTGATCTCTTGCTGCAGACTGCATTTGCTCGGACCGCCCTAATGCCGCCACAAACTCAACGCGCTGTTATATATCCATTTTGCGTTTATTATTATGAAATTACTGTAAATTGTATGTAGTTAGTTGAAGTGACTGTAGAAATGATTTGCTTGACTGCCGATTACATATAAATACTGACGTGCAAATAGTCTTTGAACAATATACACACATAACTATATATGCTATGTAGATAAAAATACTAGCAACAACATAACCACATCCAAAAAATTGCCGTGCAAGTCACAGTTAAAGTCGTAAAAGTCTAGTTTTACAATTTTTTAAGCGAACACTATTTAAATTGCATATTTTTTAAGTTCTTTACACAACGACTAAATAACCAGCAGTACTAATGTACTCGATAAACAGTATGTAAACAAGTAATTAAAAAGAAAAAACTACGCATGTATTACGAAACCATATATTTTGATAGCATTCAGCATTGGAATGCAAAATAAGCAACGCCAATAATGTATTGACAGTAATCTTAAATGTTTGGCAAACAAAATCTGCATAAAATTATATCATAAACTTAGCCGTTATACATAAAATACCTTGAAATCAAATGTACATGAATTGTAAAATGCCAAATGAACTATAAAATATTTGTGAAAATTAATTGCAAAAGTGAAATAAATAAAAAGCTGAATCAAGTTTTGTTGTTAGAATTTTATAAACACATAATATACATACATACTAATACGCATACTTCTAGGTAGAGTAAAAATATCATTTTACGTTTACAGCAATTGAACTGAAAATTAAATGAATGATTTCATAGAAAAATGTGTTTTGTTGTTTGATTCGCTTTAGAAATTATGAATTCGCCGTTTCTTATGTTCAATGCAGTTTTTTTTTTGACTGATTTTCTACTTTAAAATTATTTCTGATACGAGTGTTAATAATTCAATTTATAAAATAAAAAATTAAAATTTTATTGTTGAATATTTAGTATAGAATTTAAAAATTGTATTATTAAATATTTAATATAAGAAATAAATACATTTTTTAGTATTAAATGTTTAATATAAAAAATATATACAATTTTTAGTAATAACTTTTCAATATAAAAATTTTACTTATTACTAATTTTTGAAAAATACTTTTGGCTATAAAATTCAAAAAACGGCTTAATAATGTAAATTCTTGAATATTTAATTTTAGCATCTTTCAATCATAAAAATCTCATGTATTTGCTTAATTTATATGGTTATACTACTCAGCTGTTTGCGACAACTTCCGTAAAATCCTAGTGATTTTTTAAGTATTTCTTTATAGAAAATTTCAAGGTTATGATTTTTTATTTTTAAATTTCTCGTAGCTGTAAAAAATGGATCAAATTTTAAGGCAAATCAACAAAAACATTTTTTTTTGGCAATAATTGGTTATAAAAAAATTTTATTCAATATTACATATTCTGTAGAGAACTATTTCAAAAAAAAAAATTAATATTTACATAAACAAATTAAAGCATTAACTAATCAAAACATATGACTTGGATTCGGCCAAATGAAGAGCACTTGCGTACGAACATTTAAAAACACAATTTTAAAGTGAGAATTTTGCAAAGCCAATCAACTGATCATAATATCATTTTGGGAAAAAAAATAAAACAAAACAAACAACGATATCGATATCAAGCAAACTTTACTGTGAAAAATAAATTATTCAAAAGATCAACAATTGTTTTATTGTGAACTATAGACATATGTATGTGTAGCTCAATGTTTTTATTATTTTAAGAAATGTTTATAATTTTTTTTGTTCTTGTAAAATAATTTTAAACAATTATTCATACCGCAGCAACATATGTTGTGGCAAAAGCAAAGGCGTCGTGCTTTTATATCTATGTATATGTATATATGTTATATATGTATGTATTTGTATATAATGTGTGTATGTCAGTGTACGAAAATGCCACCTATGATTAGCGTAGTGTGAAATAATTTCTCCCGAAGCCTATTAAAGTCACAATTGCATGCAATTTGTCATTAGGCGACTAAATGTTCGCTGAAAATATGAAATATTTCAGTAGCCACACGGACACAATGACAACTTCCCAACAAAGTTTGGGCATAAAAACGTTAAACACAAGCTGCGACTTAGCAACACACATTTACGTAGCGCTAGCAGAAGAAAACGAAAAGCGCAAGAACAAGCGAAATACAAGTAAATTATAGTTGCACACAAATTGCTGGCCCGCCCCTTTGCAGTTGCACAAAAATAGCAATTCGGAAAACGAGGCGCTTCAAACTTGCACACAGAGACATGCAACGTCCCAGCTGTGTGGGGTACGGAGCGGCGCAGCAAGGCAAAGCGACAACAAAATATTACGAATGCTGACGGAAAATCAAGAAAACAAATCTCATTTCGAAATGGCAATTTATTCATGACCTTTGTTGCACGCATCTCACAGCAATTACTGGGCAGTATATGTGTGTGCGTATGTGCGATGTAGGTGGCATACACAAAAACCTGAAGTAACTTGTATATGTGTTTTTTTTGTATATAGCTACGTATATACGTATGTATATTTCATAAAAAATTGTATAACATGCCATAAGCATAAAGCCCAACACTTGTAACCACGTGTGTGAATATGTAGAAGTGTAGTCTGTATGGTCTGTATTAATATATGTATGTATGCTTGCATTTTTGTTTAATATTTCACATTATTTTCCGTCATTTCATTTGTTCGTGCCCAAACTTTACCAAATCCTCACGGTGTATTTGAATTGATAAATCGGCTGCAATCACCTTATCGCACAGTTACATCACACAAGCAAAATGGCAGCGAAAAGAACAGAAAGTTACAGTGTAAATAGAGGGAGTTTTAACAATTTCCAACCATGTCTAAAATCGTGCCGCACATAGATCTCAAGAAAAAATTTTTATTTTACGTTCTGTAGTGCCGAAACTCCCATCGTTTATTATTCTAACCACAAATTTAAGTTGAAAAGTCAAATTTGCAACGAGATCAATTTATCGAGGTCCAAATCTTATTTCGGTTTCTCATCTGGAAAATCTCAGCGTGCTTCTAAATATTCGAAAACGATTTAATATATTTAACGAGTGATCTGAATCTGCAACTATTGTAAATTGCATAAGGATGACAAAAATGATTTGGGAATACCAGAAACCACTAAAACCATTTAAGGTAAGTAAAACTACTGAATTTTGCACCAAGAAACAAAATGTGCTGCTCATAAAAAATTCGTTAGCATTCGGTATAGGTTTAAACATATGAGTACGCGTTTACCATTTAGATATTATCGCAATGCATCGTTACACGTATATGTGATACCGTGTGGTAAAAGTTATCGTGTACCGAATGACATCATTACTCGTGCGTGCGATGCCAAGTAGTATAAGGCATCGTGCGCTCTTTAATTACTATTCGGCATCGCCAAGAGAAAGTAAACTACGACGGGTCTTAAATACTTTTTCTATTCACAATATATTCAGTTTAATTTATTAATCACTATTTTCCATATAAATTAATATAAAATAAAATACTTATTTCAGTTGCGAATGTAAAAATAAAATAGCATCCACATTTTCTCCCTCCAAGCTTGCTTTTCGTTTGTCTAAAACTCGATTAGCTGAACTAAATAATTTCTCGTTTGCAGTGCTCGTTGCGGGTATGCATAAAACTTTTCGCGCCAACTTCGCAAGCAATGGAAATTCGTCTGCATGATGCTTCCACCAATGTAAAATATTATTTTCCGGATAACAAACAATTTGGTACATTTTCATCTGCACAGTTATCTGGCTTTCAGGCTTATGCTCCTCCGTCAAATGAACATCGGCATATTTTAACAGTATATCATCATCGACCGAAGGCTTCACGTCTGCACTTCCAGAGGGCGAATCATCGGAATGTTCTGCATGCGTGACCTCTGTCATCTTGATAAGTTCTTTCTTTATCAAATCGTGCACTTCCTTACGCTGCTGTTCGTTAAGATAACGCATTTGTTTATACTTCGGCCACAAAAAGGCCGATATTTTGTGAACTTTGTGTGGACAACAGTATGCATCAAAAACATTGTCCAAACAGTTTGCAATTATGAAGCGAATTTCATGATTCGTTTCTTCATTACGCAGTTTCATTAATTTTTCTTTGAGCACGTGCATGTGTAATAGAACCAGGTGTATAGTTGGCACTTTCTCAGCTTGTAATAGTATTGTTACATTATTAAATGGTTCCAAAAGGTTAATTACTCGATCGAGTAGCTGCTTTTCAATTCCGATCAAACGTTGCGATTGTCCCGTTTGCTCCAGATTTTCTTTAATAGCGTTAAAATTGTTGTGAATGGTGTACAAAATTGTAAATTCTGAGCTCCAACCCGATGGGCACTCTTGTTCAGCAGCTGTTTCAAGTGCACTGCCTATGCGCCAAAAATTTTCTATGAGATATTTGCATTTCCTCATCAAATCCAAGACGTTAGGTGCACGATTCTTAAGAGTATCTTTGTCGAATGTATGCTTTAGAATAGTGTTTACCACATGTGCGCCACATTGTATTTTACGGTTTAGCGAAGATTTTTTCATATACGAAACTTGATCGGTGGCATAGGAAATTTTTTTTAGCAAATCTCTGTCTAAGTTTAGTTCGTCAAATTTTGCTTCAATGACAGCAATAATATTTTCTGTCGTTTTCTTCACTACAGTGCCACTGTCTTCGCCACATTCCAATTCCGTAGTGAACAAAATGCGACTGAAAAATTTAAATGAGTATATATTAGGTTTATTACATATGAAGCTCTTACTTCTGAAGTTCCCATTCGGAATTGATGTAATTGACAGTAAAAGTAGTAAAAGTTCTTTTTTGTCTGTCATCCGTCCATATGTTTACCGTACCAGCACACATGCCTAAAAAATATTTTGATATATATTTGTGGTTTCAGTCGAACTTAAGTCCCACTAAGCTGATCAGCTACAAACCTCTTTTGATAATTGGACGCAGTTTGCTGACAAACATTTCACGCTCGCTTAAATGCAAACTATGTAATCTACGCTTTATTGTGGTGACATGTGGCAAAATATCATCAACCTTAAAGTTGACTGTACCTAGTTTGACACCAATTTCAACCAAGCATCGTGCCAACTCTTTGAATCCATTACGATTAACAGCATCAGGCGCTTGAAGATCTCTGCAAATGAATCGCACACAATGCTTTATGGCTTCTTCTCGCAATTGATCGCTGACACTAACCAGCGACAGTTTCATCATCGGCTCGGCATCGCTTTCTTCAGAGAATCGCCGTTTATAACATACATGCTTCTTTAGATTCGACGAGCTAGCGCCTTTCGCATATTTAAATATTCTCTCGCAATTACAACATATAACATAAGGTACATTTTCATGCGTGCTTGTGTTTACAATCTTCCGAAAATAGCCCCATATATCGCTTTTACCCGCCACTTCAATGGTTTGGTAATCACCACTTTTAATCTTTTGTAAAACTTCCATGTGTATTTGAAGTTAAAAAATAGTTTCAGTAAGTATAATTTTATATTAAAGCATACCACACTTGTTACACACAAAATATGCTAAAGAAACCACAATTTACACACTAAACCACCGAATACATTGACGTATGAGCGCTCAACGCTTTTTTATCATTTCGCTTTCAGCTTGCTTCGCTGACGATTACAACGAGTAATACGATGTCGTACCGACGATGCTAAAACGCGAGGAATAAATTTGTTGTTACGAAATTCGTACTCGCCGAGTATTAACGCGTTGCTCTTTTACTTACACGTGGCTTACACTATACAATTTTGTTAAGACTATAGCAATATACTATACATTTGGAAGAGTAGTAAAATTGAGCGGTTTTCGTGATATTTTCTCTTCCTTTTAACTATACCCAGTATGGTATTTTTAATTTGCAGTGAATTGTTTAGCATCCTTCGTCCGCAAGAAAAAATTTAAAATATGTCCACACAAGGGTTAAAGGTTGTTTCATAAACAAAAGAGAGGAGAATCAGCAGGAAAGTTATTAAATTGATAAACATATTTATACATGTGCATATACATGCCCTTGAAATTATATAATATAGCGTCTGCATAATCAAACAATCAAATTGATCACACCTACATACATACATACGTATATATATACATATGTTATAAATTATTACTTGACTATAATTTGAACATCATTGAATTTAGCCAAGAAATTGAAAGCATCGAAGTATTCGTACATATTTCATGTTATTTCAACTTGAGCACAAATACTGAGAGAATGCGCGTTTCTTTGCATACGTTTCAAGCAATTGAGCGCGTTTCAATGCGGCACTGCTAGCTTGGTTGTTGCGACTACATGCGCGCTATTTTGTGTGCTCTCCGCCACAGTTCTATTAAAACGTATGTATTCGTATATGAAACGCATGAAAACGGAAAAACTCTAGTTGTTTTTGAAGCGTTGCTAAGTTAAAACGTATTTTTGTTTCTTAATTGTGACAGTGAGAAGAGTTTTTAAGAATGGTAAATGGATTGCAGTGTTTATAGAGAAATCTTTTATATCTATATTTATAACTTCAGGTTATAGACGATTTTAAATTGATTCGTGAAGTAAAAATACGACCATATTTCTATGTAAAAGGTTTGACGGGCTATCGAAATTCCACGCTCCGCAAAAAAGGTTGGGAACAGATCGGCGCTATTTTTGATACATCGGGTAAGGAAAGCAAATTTCATAAATTACATATAAATATGAGAGAAAAGTATTTTTAACATATACAGGCGAAGAATGTTGCACACGTTGGCGTGTTATAAGAGACCGTTATGTAAAATTGATTGCCAAAAAAGGAGCGAACAAACCATTGACGGGTTATGATAAAAACTGGACACTTTACAAGCACTTAGGTTTCCTAAAAGCCCACATTAAACCTAGAACGTAGGATATTAAAAATATTTATATGTATTAATGCAATTTATAATATCTATAAAATTTGATTTTTAGATACAAGTTCAAGCCTAGCGTTTCTAACGATGAAGCTGACGAGCACGAGTTTATACAAAACATTTCTTACGAAGACACTTTCGACGAAGATCTACCCAAATATGAGTCTAGCGTGGAAGAGGAGGAATCACTTATGTCCATACCTGATATGGACTGTAGCGATGATTTACCTATTGAAATCACCACGACTGAACCGCTAGTGCAACCCACCGCACAAGTGCCTGACGTATCCCCGCAATGCAGTGATTTACAAGAGAAATTTTCAACTTTTACGAAGAGAGTGGAATTTTTGCTAAAGCAGCGGCAGATAAATGCGTCCGATGATAAAAATGAAGCTTTCTATCGTATGATCGGCATTAAGCTTGCTGAATTGCCGGAAGATGAGCAGGAGGATGCTAAATTGCACATTATCTCACACGTTTTCGAAAGGGTGAAGGCGTATAAACAAAAGACTCGGTCGCTTAGTAGTTCTCACAATTAGCTGCTAAATCGTAATATAGGAATTTAAGTGTTTAATAACTTTTTTATATTAAAATAAAGACTGTGTTAAAGTGAAAATTACATACATATATATGTATATACTAACTGTGCTGCAAGATTAATCCCTATATATTTAGTTACATAAGTATGCGCTTGTATACCTGTTTTGACAGGCATCCGTTTGTGCTCCATATTCTCTTCATTTTGAGTTTGCAGAAAAGGGGCCCGTTACCGTATGCGCTCGGTGCACAAACAGCTGTTCAGTCCGCACTAGCAGGCCGGTTCTGAGCAGTGATTTTTTCCTTATATACTTCTGCAAATACAAATCTATGTATGGTATATAAGCAGTAAATATGTGCGAACACTGCACCGAAACTCGTTCCATAACCACTTTGCCCTTTGAGTGCACTTTTGTTTGGTTGAGTGAGAAAAAGCTCGCAGAGTACACAGCAAAAGGAGAAGAGTATGATTGTAACCATACCTAATATAAGTATTTTCGCTCTCGTATTGTTGGCAGCTCGCGGCTAAGAACACAGATTTAGGAAATAACTACTTGCAATAAATATACACACCTTCGACAACTGCCACAATTATTATGAGTATTTTCTACATTGAGTGAGTGATGAGAACAAGCAGTTCGTGAGTATGAGTGAGTTCCTTCAAAAGCAAATAATATATAGAAATATGTGTATATTTTTATAACTCTGCTTGAAGAAAAGTGTGCAAATAGGAACCTCCACTATAAAAATACAATATTTATGAGTAGCTGTGGAAATTTTGTACACTTTTGGGTTTAGTCGATATAAAGCACCGTAACAGTGTACAACGAAAATAGGGAAAAGTGAATAGCGACTGAGTTGTTCAGCCATGAGCAATTCAGTTGGAGGAAATTTACGTAAAATTTTATCGAGCAGCCAAGAAAATTGCGTAAATTCTATTTTAGAGTTCTACAGCGAACGAAAACGAATTAAATAGTCGAAAATATGTCACAAACATGACATAAATTAAATCGATCGAAATTTTCGAAATAGCTGTGATATTTTTTTATTTTTTTTGAATTTCCAACTTATACGGTTGGTTGAGATTTTCCTAAAATTTTCAATGATTTATGTCGCTAAGCACAAGTTGTGTCCTATGTTAGTGTCGTAGGCGGAAGAGCTGAGCTGCGTATGGAAAAAATGAAAAGCTGCACAGTAACGGAGTTGGCAATGTGAACAGTTAGGCAACGGCCAAGTTACAATGACGGTAAGTAACTCAATTAACTATTATTTATTATTTCAAAGTATGCCAAATGATTGCAATCAAAAATTAAATAGAAATAAAATTGCAAAAAAATAAAAATTTGATATAAAATAATCGATCTATGATATATAATATAAATTAAATAAACTATTATAAAAAATTTAATTATTATATAAAAATACATAACACAAAATTAAAAAAAATTATTTAATATTATTATTATTTAATATTATTAAATTTAAAGAATTATATGAAACTAAATAATTTTTATAAAATATAAAATAAAGTTTTGAATGCGTTGATAAGTCATAATTGGTACACTTATGCAAAGCCAAAAAAAAATTATAATAATATTTAATATTATTGCATAAAATAAAACGAATTAATAAAGAAAATAGTTTTAGCATAAAAATAAAGAAAATACATCAATATAAACAAAGTAAATTAATTAAAGTTAATTTCAGAATGCTTGCAGTTGGCTTCTAAACTAAGAAGTTCAGATTGATTCTTTTGTAATTAAATTAAATATAACAATTTTCAGTTAAAAAAATATTTTAATACGCAATAGTCAAGAATATATATCATAATTATAATAATATTATGATTTTAATAAATTCTTGGTATTTTTGTATTATTTTGTACTATTTATTGTAAATAACAAAAAACGAAAAATAATAATTTTCATGATTATCTTTGCACTTTCTTACTATATTTATAACTACTAATTTTTAAAAACTTTACAACTTATTAAAATTAAATTTTTTATAGAATAAATTTTTAGAATACATTTTTTTCTGTTATCGCATTTATTTTGTTATCGTAATTATTTTCAGTAAATTAAAAGCGGACTTGTGGTAATATTTTAGTTATGCAATTAAAAACTGCAGCAAAGCTAAATCGTATAAAAATAATATTTTTGACTTAATAGGTTCTAAAGAAATAACATTTATAATTTATATTTAAACTTAAATTTTCAGTAGCAGTAGTCATTAAATACCCTGCATATAATAAAAATAAATAATGCCAGCTACCCATTTAACAAATGCTTATAATATGTCTTCTCGCACTATATCATTAGCATACTGGCAATGAGTTTAGCATATCTCAACTAAATCATAATTATTTTCATAATTTCTCTTCGCAGGTCGTCCGCAATATGTGGCACATCCGGCTCCACTCCACTCCGCGGGTACTAACACGGGCATAACAGTGATATTTTAATCAAGTGTTTGCTTGCAACCTTTGAACACTCAAATACACAATAGCACCCAACTGTATTATTTGCTCTTCGAGTTATTTTGAAATGCTAGTTTGTAAGCATCTGGTTGACTGTGATATTTTACGCGTGTTTATCGTGAATCTAAAAACGAGGAAAAAACTAAAAATTGCTGAATGTAATATCTTCTATGGTATATTACTCGGCTAATTTTTGCTTTGCTCTGAACATTTGGATTCTTGATAAATTGTGATAAGAAGCTGTGATATATTTTGTGTTCATTTTTTGTATAAAACTATAAAAAACACACAAAAAAATAGAAAAACAATAAATAAAAGCAGAAAAAATAAAAGTAAACTTAAAACTATAAATATTGCGCATTTTATTTTAAGAGAGGAGTGAATGTTGTATTACGCAAACGGCTGATTCTTTTACTTATTTGCGCGCAGAAATTCTAAAATTTAAATGTGATAGTGCTTGATTTGTTAGAGACGCGGAAAATGGTTCACATTCGACATTTAGAATTTTTAGTCGTCTGATTTTTATCAAACTTGAAGCCGTTGCAAAGGCTAGCTCGTCTCCAAAAAATTAACGCGAGTCGCATTTGACAATATTTCTTGGGTTGTTAGAGAGCTGTTTATAAATTTTCTAGGAGGTTGTAAATTATTAAAGATTTTTTGTTAAAAATATGTTGAAAATTAAATAAATTTGTTAAAAATAATTTACCGATAAAAAAACATAACCATAATTGGACTTGAGTTGATTTTAAAGGTGGTTATAGTAAAACGTTTAATCATTGTTGTTATTATGATAATTTTCTTAAACAATATTTAGAGCATATCTTGTTAAATTTAATGTTGTGAAGGTTCTTCAAAAATTATTTATGAAATTGTGGTGTGTTGTTTAAAATATTATTTTCAGATTCCTACAAATTTTTTATTCTAGATTCCAAGGCTCATAATAAATAAATATTTAGCATTACAGATTATTACTAAATGCTTAAAAAAGTGTTGGTGAGAAAACAGACACAAGTTCTTAAAATACAATTTGATATCACTTGAAAATGTATTCCAAATAAATTCTTGGACAGCACTTTTAATATTTTGCGGAAGGCATGGTTGGTTGCATCAGTTAACTGAAGACATGGCGTGAATGCACAAAAAAGTGGGGCAAAAATATGCGCTATATATATTCATTTACATTTGTTTACATATGTATATATTGTTGTTGTTGTATTTTACACTTTTGCAAGCAATACAAGTATGAAAGGAATGCAACGACTGATTAAATATTTGCGCTTATTTTTATTAAATAAAAGAAGATTTTGGTATTTTCACTTAATGAAAATATTTGATATTAGATTTTGAGATATGCATACATATTTATATACAACATACATATAATGTACATACAAACTTGCATATGTAGGTGTTCGTAATGCGGTTTGAAATTATATTAAGGAATGCACTTGATGAACACCCAGTAGAGAAAAATGAGTTTAAAAGCAAAAATTTAATTAAACCATTAATCCTTAAAATTAATTTGCATAATGAATTAATAAAGTAAAATTATTGTATATCTCGAAAATATTATAGTTTATATGTAATATAAATACACTTTGTAGGTGATAACAGCAGCGTTCTATTCTGATAGCTAATACGATGAGTTTTTACTTTTACAAACCTTTACGAAGATTTTGAAACTTACGTTTCGATTACTGATTTTTTCACAAAGAGAAACACGAATATTAAATCTTTGAAATTTCGAACTTGTTAGTCATAAGACATAGAACAAGTTAAGCTCTATTGATACTTTCAAAAATTGGTTTTCCTGCTGGTTGCAAATAATACAGGCATTCCCCAACACTTGTTTCTAAATTGCATACGTGCAAAATTGAAAAAATTTATTTGTTTTGTTTTGCAAAGAGGCTGACCGTTTAGTTGAAAATTTTGCTTGCAGCAGTTTTGTAAAGTTGCGTTATCTTATGTTTTAATTTCAGAAACATCCAAGAAACCGAGCATATTTTGCAACTTAATTTATTTACTTACAAGTTGAATGAACCTAACGACGTGGCATTTGTTTTGTTAGCGAACGCCACGCTGGAATCACTGATCAATTTTCGTAATTAGTGCCAATTTTAGATAAATCAAATTGCTTTCTCACTTATCTATTCAAATTATAGACAGCTGGTATTGCTAAGATCACTCTGTTGCTATATAAAAATCGAAGTTCAAGGTCGCCAGCCATACGTGTGGGCTTAGACCGGCACACCATATGTGCCTTAAAAATCAAAAAAAAAAAAATTTGTGCAAATATTTGCTTTAGTGAAAATTTGAAGTGTGTAAATAATTTATCCGATTGTTATCGCGTCTATTGTTTTATAAACAAACGTGAGGAATTGCTTGTGGGAGAGCATCATTTAATTTGCGTTGTCAAGCGCTGCCAGGGGTGGGGGATTAAACGTGCGATTGAATTGGAATTGGTGTTGTGTTAATTAAAAATTTTAAATTTATTGTTTTTATTTATGTGCGTTTAGATTGCCATGTTTTCTGGAAGCAGTTTGTCGAGTGCTTTTATGAAGTGGTGATTTAAGGTGATTTATGGCTCTCAGCTTTTGTTAAAATAAACCAATGTGATGAAATGAAATAATAATGAAATGATTAAATGCAAATTACAAAAAATGTGCGGCTAAATCCCGACTTTCACTATAACCAAAATAGCTTTATAAAAGCTGTAACACAGCTTTTTTCTACAGCATGCCAGGAAGTTGCGTGGGTGCAACATTTGTAGGTTAGGTTTGTAGGTTATGCATATGTATGTATGCACTTGTATATCTATACATTTGTAAAAAAGCATGTAATTGTAATTTAAGCTAAAAAGGTTCTCATTACTTACCCTCTCTCGCACGCTGGCAGATACACAAGCTAGTATAATCCCCAGGCATATGTTTCGTAGAAATAAGCTTCATGCTGCATACACATAGTTAAACATATTTATAATATATTATATACACATTTACATACACTTGAGTCAGCAATGAGCTTGTGCAGCGCAACCGCAGCCGCGTCGGAACACGCATCAACTAGTTTGACGGCTTTTTTGTTTGTTTTTCTTCTGGCTTTTACGACTTGCTAGATTTTTTTCACCTTTTCTGTATATACATACATATTTATAGTGCTTTTCTACACAGCTTTGTACTTTGGCAACAGCTTTATGTTTAACGTTTTTTCTCTTGCATTGTCGAACCTAAAGCTTACCAACACATAAAAACACATATGTATGTGGAAACATTGAAATGGCTTGCCCCAGAGCGCTGATTTCTTGACTCTTCAATTGTTGTTGCTAATCTGTTTCGCGTGCAACACAGTTATCAGCCTGCTGCCGATTTGCTGTTCTTTCTAAATGCTAATTCCTCGCCTTTGGCCATTTATCAATAGCTGGTGCTTTTGTTTTATCCTGTCTTTCTGCTTGACATTTTGGTCTATTTATATTTTATTCAAATTGTACTTGTATGCATTTTTTTCGCTGGTGTCCACCTGCCTGATTCTTTATTTATTTGTTTCTGCAGCGTTTGTTGAGTTTTTTCTCTAAGCAGACTTTAAGACGGGTTTCTAAGACGTTTTTTTTACGTTAGTTGCACATAATTTTGTTTAATTATACTGAAGTGTGCTTGTTTAGGGGAGACGTTAGTGCTCGAAGTATGCTTAGTTTTAGTAATATAAAGAAATATCAATAAAACAAGTAAGGAAGGGCTAAGTTCGAGTGTAGCCGAACATTTCATACTCTTGCAACTTGCAAGAATCAGAGTGGGGGCAATACCTTTAGGTGTTGGCAAAATTTAATATTTTTAAATATAATATATTATATATTAATTTAGCGATTTCATCAATCTCAATTACAGTTTTCGACGAAGTGGTGAATGAATTACAGGCAAATTTGGTATCATATTAACTTATTTTGAAGGTCATACAGGTTGGTTGAAAAGTTGGTTGATTTCACCAAGAAATAGCATTAGGTGCTTCACATTTTATTTTGCTCAAGTTGGTACAGCTGTCGTGAGCACATATGCAAAGTTACAAGTCATACTGTCAATTAGTTCATTGTTTACAAGTCATTTGAAGTTGACGTATCAAAGTATTTTTTTTAAATATGAAAAAAATTGAATATCACGCAGTGATTCTATTCTTTGTTTTAAAAGATTTAAAAGCAATTTATGAACAATTGTTAGAAGTGTATAAGGAGTCCTCAGCTTCAAAACGCACCGTTGAATTTGGGCTGGTGAATTACAAGGCTTGAAGACGTACAAGGTTTGAAGACGATCTACGCGAAGGACGAACCAAAACCACAACCACACCAGAAATCATTGAGCACGTTTATAATATTGTTAGTGAAGTTCCAAGTTTGACTAAGCGTAAAGTTGCTAATGCCATGGGCATCTCAGACGTATGAGTATTTCATAGTTTACATGGAGAATTACATAGGAAAAAGTTGTTTGGAAAGTTAGTGACGCAAACCTTTATAATTCAACAAAAACTGGAGCGAAAACAAAATTTTCAGCATAATTTGGAGCATTTCAAGCAGAACACAACCGATTTATTGCGTCGTTTTATAACTAGGGCTGAGACTTAGATCTACCACCGTCATCCTAAATTGAAACAAGTACGTTTACAATGGACTGAAGCTGGTTGTTCAGCTCCAAAGCAGGTGAAGTCACAAAGATCAAAAAAGAAGGTTATGGCATCAGTTTTTTGGGATGCTAGATGAAATTTTTTTGTTTGATTAACTGCAGAAAGGTAAAAGAATCAATTCTGAATATTATTGCAGCCTTTTGAATCAGCTGGATGAAAAAATTCGTGAGAAAAGACCTGGTTTGCAGCACAAAAAAAATTCATATCAGTTCATAGAAATACTTGTAGAAGGACTGATTGCATTAATTTTTGACACTACTCAGGTATACTTGAGAACTTAATACTATATTTGCGGAATTCTTTTACGAATAATAAACAGGTCTAATTAAACTGAAAGAGAGTCCGCGAATTCATTGTCTTCCTGACGCACACTTGAATTACTGAGCCCATTAACGAGTCAATATTTCTGGAAGGGAGTTATCATACTGAGGTCCTGTTTCGAAAAATAAGCCTCCCGAAGTTCTTATCAGCATATAAGCTATATTTGTATATAGGACATACATCTAAATCAGCACTTTTCCTATTCTCCTTTTTTATACCCTGAACAGGATTTATTATGTTTGCACCCTACAAAATATGTATGTATATATATATATGC